TCGAGCCACCTGAAGGAGGGAGGAGGTGGCGAAAGGATCGAAGGGCAGGGGAGACTGTCCGTCGTGTCACACACGGTGTGGGTCTGGTCTTCAAGGAGGGACGCCCTCGGTAAGTGCTCGCAGCCTGCGAGTCATCAGGCTGAGCAATCGGACCCAAAGCGGCACTAGGGACCTGCTTCATCTCCGGGGCCGTCTCCTGTCTGTCACTCTGTAGTTGCTAGGTTAGTTCTCTGTAATTGCTAGGTTAGTTCTCTGTAGTTGCTAGGTTAGTTCTCTATAATTGCTAGGTTAGTTCTATGTAGTTGCTAGGTTAGTTCTCTGTAGTTGCTAGGTTAGTTGTTGCTAGGTTAGTTCTCTGTAGTTGCTAGGTTAGTTCTTTGTAGTTACTAGGTTAGTTCTCTGTAGTTGCTAAGTTAGTTCTCTGTAGTTGCTAAGTTAGTAGTTGCTAGGTTAGTTTCCTGTAGTTGCTATGTTAAAAGTAGCTAGGTTAGTTCTCTGTAGTTGTTAGTTCTCTGTAGTTGCTAGATTAGTTGTATGTAGTTGCTAAGAGCTGTCCGCATTTTAAGAGCTGGCAGCATTTGATCCGCCCCTATATATATAGGACGTGGTTCAAATAAGAACCAAGTTCTAACGTGAGAACCGTAATTTTTAGTTGTATGTAGTGCTATGATGATTGTGTTTTAGTGTTATTTTTAATTATGATGTATTTTATTAAAAATAGCAATAAAATTTTTATTAGCATTTGTGAAAATGATAACACCAAGTAATATTAAAAATAGCATCATGCCCAATTAAAAATAACATCAAATATGGTTCTAACGGATCTCACAGCAGACCTAGTTTTTATTTGAACCAGCCCCTATATATATATACACACACACACACACACACACACATATATATATATATATATATATATATATATATAGAGAGAGAGAGAGAGAGAGAGAGAGAGAGAGAGAGAGAGAGAGAATAACCATTTATAAAAAATGTTAAGCAAAAATTTCAGTCAAATTAAACGCATGATAATTCAGATTTTTCTTTTTATTTTGTATTTTCTTTTAACAACAAAAAACGGGCAGCATTTAATGCTCCCATCAAAATTGGGTGTTGTTCAGTCCAAATTCAAAAATTGCGGTTATGAATATTTTCAAAACTTTTGGACCCATTTCTCCAACCATTTTGGATGGATTTATCGATCTTTCCTTAAATTAAGGAATTTGTTCAACTTAAAATTTCAAAATATCTACTTCAAAATCTTGTGTATATCAAATTATATGCATTTCAAAATTCAAAAACACCAATATACACATTTTTTAGATATAAATATTTTTCACAAATTTGGGACCATTTTTCCAACCATTTTAGATGGACAAAATTTGAAACATCCATACTAAGGAAAAAATAAAAATGGATGTAAAAGTATAACTATTACAAATATTAACCATGTGTTAAAAGAAAAAATGAATGGGTTGTTCGTTAAACTAATACCCAATTATTTTCTCAAATGGAACACCATAATGGTTGTGACATATATTTTTTATAAATATTTTATCAAACATTGGAAAAAAATCCTAAAATCTTTAATCATATAAACAATATAAAAGTACATTTTATAAAATAAATAGTTATTATAAATAAATAAATAAGCAGTATAAATAGTATTTTATCTTATGAGATTATATTAGTCGTAGCTAATAATTAAGATATTGTGGTAACAACTTCATTATACAAAACATTTACAAGAAAAGGAATTTGCTTTAATTCTTTCTTTTTTTTTACAAACGATAATAATTTGCTTTAATTCTTTAAATAAATAAAATATTGCTTATGAATAGAATAAGAAACAAATAAAATAATAGTATTACAATGGTGAAAAGAAAAGGTCTGAATTTTCTTAACAATATCTAGAAACAAAAGACTTTTATATATAAGAAATTGATTCTCATAAATAATGATCCTACATTCTGAACTTTGAATTTTAAAAAATTAGAGAATTATAAACTTTTTATAACATATGACTAAGAGTATTATTATATAATAGAATTGTAACTCTTCTCATCTAAAATATTTTAACAAATGATATGCTTCTCGATATTGTCTCATTATTTTTGTAAGAAACTGGGGAAAAAACGGGTGCGGTCCCACTAACATGAAGCGCACCATAAGCGGAGAAAAGCCCATATGAAGCCCCAATGAGGTTCCAACCCAAAACCAATTGGTGGAAAGAGGAGTAGCCCATTAGACTTATAAGGTGAGTCTATTTTTCATGTATGAACGATGTGGGACAACTCACAAGTGATATTCAACACGCCCCCTCACTTGTGAGTCCTTCGGAAGCCGAAACCCAACTGGGTTGGGTGCCCCAAGCCTACTAGAAGCAGACTCCCATAAACGGGTACGTGGGGAAGCAAACTCCCATAAACGGGTACGTCATCACACGGTCCCAATAGAACCGACTCTGATACCATGTAAGAAACTGGGAGAAAACGGGTGCGGTCCCACTAACATGAAGCGCACCATAAGCGGAGAAAAGCCCATATGAAGCTCAAATGAGGTTCCAACCCAAAACCAATTGGTAGAAGGAGGAGTAGCCCATTAGACTTATAAGGTGGGTCTATTTTTCATGTATGAACGATGTGGGACAACTCACAAGTGATATTCTAACAATTTTGTTTTGTTTTGTCTTCTCATTGTTGAATAATAATAAAAAAAATTAAAAATTTCTGAAGCGTTATGTATGATGCAAAAAGTAGGACAATAAAAACAATAAAAAAGTTAATAGACACATAAATATTATAGATCCAAACAAATGTGAAAGATATTATGATAAATAATTCCAAATTCTTTGTAACAACCAAGATGATCAATGATTTGCAAATAATAAATTATGTAGTTCGTCTATATTCTGAATAATAACATTGAATGTTGGAGCCTGATCAAAACATTTTTGAATATTTGAACGAAATTGTCACTTTTTGATAAAAATATTTACATTCTAATTAGTGTATTGTGCTCGAGCATATATGCAACTACTTTAGAGTATATACTTTTATGTAATGTGATTATTCAAAAAATAATTTAGCACCTCGAGAAAAGTACATGTAACATATATTCTGTAAAATCAACTTTTATTCGGAGATGAAATTCGTGTCCACCCCATAGAGCGATGTCTCCATGGGATAGGTACCAAATTGTCTAGTGGAGAGAGAGAGAGAGAGAGAGAGAGAGAGAGAGAGAGAGAGAGAGAGAGAGAAAGAGAGAGTTGTAGTTTATAAAATGATAAAAAATACCAACAATTTTAATGACACGATTGATTATTTGACAAAGATATTCATAAGTGTTAGTAGAAATACCTTATAAAGATCATACAATCATAAAGTCTGACTATATGTTTGGTCAGAATACTATATGTGTTTATATAAAATAGATATTTTTCCAAATGAATTGAGAAGAATTGTGTAATGGGCTCCTACATGTATAAATATTTTTATGAGAATGTCAAAATTAAAATGAACAAAAATCACTCTTGAATCATCTATTTTTTTTAAAAAAAAAAAATAGTAATCCCACCTGCTCTGATAGAGTAAGCTAATCTCAGGTGTTCTAGGAAACTATCTCCAAGCACAACCTTGGAGTTTCGGATTCGACCCAACATCTATAATATAGATTGGGTCCTTACCTAATCATTTAGTTTTTTTTTATTTAATTTTTTCCGCTAGAGACTCATTTTCATATATTATTGTTGGGGTTGTAATATGTTATTTCAATCTTTTTATATTAGGACATCATTATTTTTGAAAAAAAAATTATATTACGAGTTCCTTTGTTCTTTATTTTAATACGTTCATGCAATGATATGTTTAGTAAATAAATTAATTTATTTTACTAAACTTAATTGGCAAAAATATATTCAACACCACATGCATTGCCCTTGCAATTTACTAGTAGTAACAAAAAGTGACACTTGACATGATGGAGACGAGACCGCGATCGCCTTTTTAAATAAATACGACAGGCTTCGAGTTTAAGTCATTTATTAATAATCTACTTATTATGTTATTTACTTTTATTTTAGGTAATTAAAATAAATATCTTGCAACATGTTAGACAAGATACTAGAATAGGACTCTTTCCCTATTATTTATTGGTGAGACTACGATGAAGCCAAAATGATTATGAGGAGTTTTATCTGATATTGAGTGAATTCTTCGAGAGAGTATCTCGTTCTTTCCCTTTTGTATAACGTTCTACATCAGTTGGTATCTAGAGACCAGCGACGATCCACGATGCCGCCCAAGAGAGATAACGTTGACGAGCGTTTCCAACGAATAGAAGAGCGATTCCAAGGAGTGGACGATCGATTTACGGACCTCTCGTCGGGGATCGAGGAGATTCGCTAGGCTATGTCTACCTTGCTGGAGGAGACGCGTGCGAGACGCGATGGCAGCGATCGGGCCGTACGCGATGGGTTGTGCGGAGGTCGTGGAGGGCGTGGCTATGGCGGGGCGCTCTGCCGGCGTTCGCCAGGGACTCCGTCCGGCGAAGAGGACGATGAAGACAACGTCATCGAGGTGAACATGTTCGTTGGAGGACAGCAACGGCGACCGGTAGATGAAGAGGCCTTCCAGCAGAGGGACAACGACATGGGACGTTTTTCTCGTGGCGGTGGCGGCGAGTTCGGGCGCCGTGAAGGACGCTTTGGGCGGGACCGCGCTTACGAGGAGGATGACGGCGATTGGTGGCCTTTCCGCCCAGGGCATGACAACGAGGATCCTCACTTCGATGAGGATGAGGACCGCGACTTCGACCAGCATGGCCGGTTAGGGTTACGTGATCGTGACAGGTACGAGCGAGGGGGACCGAACCGACGTGACGACAGACGCCCGATAGAAGAGGGCGATGAGTCGCGTTGGGAACAGGGGTTTCGGGTGGAGATTCTCGAGTTCGATGGTGGGGTGGATGGGTCTGAATTTATCGATTGGTGGGCTTCTGTTGAGGCTGCACTCGCATTTAAGGAGGTCCTGGAAGAGAGGCGTGTCGCTTTAGTCGCCACACGTTTTCGAGGTCGAGCGGCAATATGGTGGATGAATTTGTGCAGCTTGCGGCATCGTCAAGAGAAACTGTCACTTTCATCTTGGATAAAATTTCGTGAGTATGTAGAGCGTGAGTTTGTGCCATTCAACTACGATAGCCTTGTTTATCAAAAGTTACAAAATTTACGCCAAGGGACACGCTCGGTGAATGAATATACTATGGAGTTCCATCGGCTCTTGACTCGTGTTGACTTGCGAGAGATGAAGAACCAGTTGGTCTCAAGGTATGTGAGAGGCCTTCGTGCGGGGATTCGCGATATGTTGAATATGTTTCTGCCAGATTCGGTTTCGGATGCTCACCAACGGGTCGTTCTTGTCGAGGTCCAATTGGCACAAAAAGCTGGCTCATCTTTTGCTTCTTCCTCGCGACCTGGAGTACCGCTGGGGTCGGGTCCACAGTCATCGTGATCAACTACTACGACTATGGGAGGTTTCGGCCCGGTTGTCGGGCATCTACTTGCGTTCAGCGAAGGTGGCAAGTGGATAGCCAGAGATGGCGAACAGCAGCCCTCGGCGGCTGCTTCACGTACAGTCGCGGGCCTGAGATGTTTTGGCTGCAGGGAGTTGACACATCGCCAGTCGGTTTGTCCGAAAGTTTCAGGTACTCGGGCTTTATTTATGGAGGAGACATAGGAGTTTGTGGCGGCCGAGGGGTATGGGGGGCCACCAGTTTATGACACCGAGGCCAGAGATGTGGAGGAGTATGTGAGCGGTGACGTGGGTACAACTTTGGTCTTAAGGCGAACCTGTCTGGTCCCGCGTGGGCCTTCAGATACACCTGTGGAACGTCATCACCGATTTGAGTTTACGTGCACGATAGGTAACATGGTATGTCGTTTTATTATTGACTCAGGGTCTTGTGAAAATGTTATCGCGCAGGAAGTTGTGGACAAGCTGCACATTTCTACCGAGCCCCATCCACAACTGTACACTTTTGTGTGGATTCAAAAAGGGACTTCTGTCACAGTTGACCGTCGGGTTATGGTATCTTTTTCTGTGGGATCTAAGTATCGGGATCAAGTGTGGTGTGATGTGTGTTGTTATGGGGGTTCTTAACAATGATCTAATGTTATGTTTAGTTAATGATTATAAATGATTAGAACGTGAAATATGTATGAAGTACTCAGCAATGGCCTCGGTCCGAGGTGAACCGAGGTGAAAAGCTTCTGAGAGTTGTTACGTGTTTCACAATAGGATGTTCAATCCAGGAATCGAATCCCGTACAAGTACTACCAGTTCGCTATTTATAGTAACTTTTTTGATTTAAGTATCAGGATTCGTGCATTGCTTCTTCTATAAAGCTACTTTTCGATGGGCGGCAGGATCAGTGGGTCCCACTTGAATGATGGCAGATCTCGTAGTTTGTGAGAATGGCGTGTAGGAGCCTTGTCACCTGCTTAGATGGTGACGACCTCAGTTCGTGTAGATCTCGGTTGGGATGACCTCGGTTGGTAGGGATCACTTCGGTCTTCTATGGTTACACCGGTTTGTCGCGCGAACCGGGGTGACTCTGGATCATGTCGGTGTTGGTGATAAGTTTGCTTAAGACATTGCTTAATGCTCTTAACGGTGCATTACCGAGTTGGATGATAACAGAGAGGCCCCCAATATCGGCGGGCATACAGAGTGGTGGTCGCCGGTATTGCAAAACAATTAGAGGCTTCAAATTGATAAGAAACTGGAGGCTAGGCACAAGGTTAGACATACTTGTCCTTGGTTCTCCGGTGTGCGCGAGGTAACCGTAGTGGGTAGAGTGTTCCGAAGTAGGGGTTGGTTTCCGAGGTGAGAACACTTGGTAAAAATCTGTCGTTACCTGAACAGTACAGAGAGGAATCTGAAAAGACGTAACGGTCGACGATTTAATGCACAGTGTGAAAGGTCGCGCCGTAATGGTCTTAAATGAAATAACGGTCGGTTTTTAATAGGATGCCACGTGTACAGTAGACTTTTGTCAGACGAGGGGATGGTACCGCTTGGAATTAGGGGTCGCGTCGGTTGCACGCACCCCCAATTGAGGTCTCCAACGGTCAGAAATCAGAGATTATAAATAAGGCTTCACAATTTGCGATCGGACTTTCTTCACTTTTGTATTCATCTTCAAATTCTTGCATACTAATATCGAAATTCTTCTGCAAATTTGATATTTGTTTTTGGTGCGCGAGTGTCTGCTTATTCATTTCTCGGTAAGATTTATCGTCGATTATTGCTTTTTTATCGCACTTTATTTTTCTTTCTATTCAATGGCGTCGAAGAGAAAGGGTAAGGCGATTGCGAGTTCATCTAGTACGGATTCAGTTCCATTAGAGGTGTATCATGACTTAGAGTTGGTCGAATTAGCATTCGAGTATCATCGGTGGGATCCGATGTTGGTGAGGCATTTAGATATTAAGCCAAACGATGAGGACGGCGATCTTGTGGTAGAGCATAATGCGGCCGATGTTGAGGAACCTCATTGGAGGAGGCCAGTGAGGATGTGGCCTGACCCGAAGGTTGATTTTGAAGGCGAGCCCCGTATTCTAACGGACGCCGACGTGGTGATGCTCCGGGAGCAAATACGGGTTCCGCCCTCGGTAAAAATTTTCGCACCTTATCCGGGGGAAAGGATAACAAGCCCTCCCCCGGGTTGTGTGGGCGTTTTCACGGAGAGCCTTAGGTCGGGGTTGAGGTTTCCGCTGCCGAATTTGGTTACGGAATATCTTCGAAGTTGGGGATTTCCGTTGTGCCAGATCACCCCGAATAGTTAAAAGAAAATAATCGGCCTGATGGTGTTGTTACACGAACAGGGTGAAGGGTTACCGTCGTGTGACGAAATACGGAGTATATATGCCTTAAAGAAGAGTCCGAAAAGAAGGGTGGCGGAGTCTTCATGTTGCTTTTTTGCGGGGGCAAAGCCCCAACATGGTCTTCAAGTCGGTGAAATCATAACCGAAATTCTGGAAGCACTACACGGCTTCCAGGAGGAATGGCTTTGGGTTGCTGGGGAATGGCAGTCCGAGAGTTTCTTCCATGGACCTCGGATTGACGGGATGACGATCCCGATGAATATTCATAGTGGAGCAAGTGAGTTTTCGTTTTGTCCTTCATTTCTTGCGTATTCTTCTGATGTCGGTTTTGTTCTGTGTATTAACAGGTTGGAACTTTTACCCTTTGTAGAAAAAGAGACGAAGCAGAAATAACCGAAGCTCAGTCCGGAATTTGGTGGGAAATTACTTATGCTCGCCAGCCTTGATAAGGAGCTTCGAGACTATAGAAAGCTTGTGGTAGACTCGAAACTTGAAGCTGCTGGTTTGTCTCCTGGGGTCACTACTTCTAAATTCGACCCTGGTAAGTGAAATCTGATTCTTGGCAGTTTTACCAACACTCCAATACATATAAAAATAATTATTCGTGACCTTGTTTGTCGTATGTCTTGGTGCAGTGTACTATCCGTTACTTGGGTTTCTTGGCTATCGGACTGTTAAGGAGGCCAAAGATTTTAGGCGTCGCTATCCGAATAAGGATCTGCAATCCAAATTCGATAAGAGCCGAGATCTACGATTGACCAACATCATGAGGAGGGATTTAGTCCGAGCTTTGGTGAAAAGAACTGTTGGACAGAAGAATGCTGGCAAGAAGTCGGTCGAGGTTGGATCAAGCGCGACGTCGGTAGCGGTTCCAGAAGGTGCGCAGTCTCAGGGAGGGATCACACCCACCGACGTGCCTTCTGTTGTGAATGCTGCTGCCATAAATCAAGCGAAGCCCGAGCCAGACGTGACGGGAACCGAGTTGGCCATGACCGAGCTCCTGCACACCGAGGTGCCGAGAAGGGAGCCGGAGAAACCATCCTCTCCTCCGAAGTCAGTGGAGTCTAATCAACCGGAGAAGAGGAAGAAGAGAAAGTTGGTAAAAATGTCTGATGTTGGTGCTTCTTCCGGAGTGGAGAAGAGATCAAAGAAGAAGCACGACTCTGGTCGTAGAGCTGCGGAGAAGGGTAGTGATGAATCTTCCCTGTTTGAGAAGTCGTTCTTAACGATCGATGAGGTGAGGGCAGCTAATGTGAAGGTACCTGAAGGCGTGGTTGAGGAGCGGTTCACTACTTTTCAATCAGTTAAATCTCCTCACATGTCTTCGAGGATCGACATGCCGGAGAACGCGAAGAGCGCTGCGCGTGTGCCGTTAATGGTGTGGGACCCCAAATCCGAAGTGGGGGTCTCTTCATTGTCGAGTGTCGACAAGTTGAGCTACGGTAAGGCGTGTCTGGGCCGAGCTCTGGTACGTTTGGTAGCGGCTGAGGACGACCACAGTCGGATTGCTGCCCAGTTGGATGGGAAAAAAGACACTATTACTGCACGAGACGCGCGATCGTATCTTTGAAGGAGGAGATGGCCAAAGCTGAGGCTAACATGAAGGAGAAACTTTCCAAACAAGTTGTGCAGTTGGAGGTGGCGCAGACTGAGATCTCGGCTTTGTCCGAGGAGAAGAGGGCTTTTCAAACCGAGGTGGCTGAACTCAAAGAGCGCATTGCCTTCACCGAACAGCATTCCAAGGCTTTAGAAGCCAAGGCTGAGGAAGCAGAGAAGAAGCTGTCAGATGAGAAAGCGGAGCGTGAAGCAGCTCGTAAGGAGTGTGCCGAGGTCCGCGAACTGATGGGCCGACAATGGGATACACATCAGGCCGAGATGGCTGAACTTGAAAAAGAGAAGTCGTCTTATGGTGAAGCCATGTACGAGATTGTCTTTCAAGCTGGAAAAGACTCAATTCCCGAGGTGGAAGCTGCTCAGGCCGGTGATGAGTTTGCTGACGTCGGTATGGACGATGAGGTCGGCGAGCCTGACCTCGAGATAGAAATGAACAGCTACCTCAACCTCAGGTGGGTGATAGAGCGGTACACTGCAGGCTACTATGATATCGATGAGCTGCGTTTTTTCTTATTTCACAAACTCCAGAAATATGGCCTTGACATGGAAGTCAAAGATATGCATATTGAAGCTGATGAAGATGAGCGGGAGTTCTGTGTATGGATGCTCCGCCGTGCTGAGGAGATGGCCGCGAACCCCGATTTACCCCCGCTTTCTGAAGAAAGGGAGGCTTTACTCCGACGTGCTTACGTCAATATGATTCTTGAGGGGGAGAAAGAAAAGAGAAAGGAGCAAGCCGATGTATATCTTTCGACCCTTGCTGACGTGGAGGTTGAACAGTGTTTTGATGACATGACCCCGGAGCAGATTCGGAACACCGTCAAGGCTTATATCAAGGAGAAAGCCAAGTCGACGGACAAGGAAGTTGAGATCATCAAGGTCGTCACTCCGGTAGAAGGCAAGTCTGATGAAGTGCAAGATCCGCGCAATGAGCTCGTCCCGGTGTCGGATATAGCTATTGAGGCCGCGGCTAAGGCGAAAGAAGCGGCGGTCTTGAAGCGATTGTCCGCCAGAATGGAAGTCGGAGAAAGCAGTGGCGTTGATCAAGATGCCGAGGGAAAGAATGATGCTACTTGAAGTTTTTGGAAACTTGTATTTTTATGTTTTTAGTTTATTTTATTTGACGTATGTAGTCGGGGTGCCAGTATGTTGGCATCCTTAGTAGGAAATATATAACTTTGAACTTTCCCCGACTTAATAAAAATATGAATTTGATGTATTCGCGTATTTTTTTCTTTTTATTTATATTTTCTGTGAACATGTCAGCGATTTTTTGGGCCAAGTGTATTGAACTCGGTGCGTACATAAGATATACCCTTTAACTTGGCTAAAAAGACAAATCCGAGTTGTGGGCTTTTTAATAAAAAAGGATTTCCGAGTTCCATGTTGACCTCTTTTTTAATAAAGTCGCCTAATAGTGTAAGTCAACATGCAAACTTACTTATGAATTTGCAAGACTTAAACACAATACATGTCGTGCATAAAACAAACAGAGTTCACCGAACTTCGTCAGAGTTCGATTATGGAATGGCCCCAACCGATTTGTTTATTTTATGTTTGGTGATTATCGGGACCCGTCAAATCATGTTTGCTGAAGTGACATGGACGAGCCTCAACCCCAACCAAAGCATGCGTAGGGTTTGGATAGATTACGGGGTATCAGCGAGACTGAGTGTCGTAATGCTTATATCGGTACAAAATATTAATAAAACCGAGTTTCAAATTTTACATCGGTACCGAGCTGTTGCTCAGATTTCAAAAGTGAAAGTCTTTGAACTTTCATTACATCAAAAGAGTGACTTCATTCCCTCGGAGAGGCAAAAAGAAGGTCCGTTAAAAAGGAAAATCGGCTGCCCGACTTCGGAGCATTCATTGATAGAATTTCTTAAGGAAAACAGCATTCGATGGGTATTGATGTGGAGTTCCATCAGGATGGGCAATTCGATAGGCCCCATGGGGCAGAAATTCGATGATTTGGAAAGGTACTTCCCACTTTGGTTTCAATGGACCGGGGTCAGGTCCCATGATGCGCTTGAGAACAAGTTCACCAACTCGGAATGAACGAGGCTTGAGTTTAGAATTAACATATCTTTCGCTTCTATGCTTGTAAGCAGCATTTTTGAGTTCCGCGCGGGTTCGGTTTTCTTCAAGTAAGTCCAAATTGGCCTTCATGTTGTCCGAGTTGGACTCTTCGGTGAAATGTTGTATTCGATAAGTCGGTTCACCGAGTTCGACTGGGACCACGGCTTCCGCACCGTAATTGAGGGAAAACAGAGTTTCACCGGTGGAAGTTCTGGTAGTTGTTCGATAGGCCCACAAGACGTGCGGCAATTCTTCAGGCCAGGCCCCTTTAGCAGCATCAAGTCGGGTTTTGAGGCCATTCTTTATGAGTTTATTAACGGCTTGCACTTGGCCGTTGGACTGCGGATGGTAGGGCGAAGAGAAAAAGTGTTTGATGTTATATTCTTCGCAAAGAGATTCAAGCCACTTGCCTTCAAATTGTCGACCGTTGTCGGTGATGACGGAGTTTGGTATTTCGAAGCGGCAAATGATGAACTTCCATACAAAGTCGACAACTTTCTGCTCAGTTATCGTGACTAATGGTTCGGCTTCAGCCCATTTGGTAAAGTAATCAACCGCAACAATGGCAAATCAGATGCCACCTTTTTCGGTCGGTAGGGGACCAATGAGGTCAATCCCCCATTTGGCGAAAGGCCATGGACTGTAGATTGACTTGAGTTCTTTAGGAGATTGATGAATGTTGGGTGCAAAAAGTTGGCACTTCGAACATTTCCAGACCCACGTAGTGGCATCGGTTTTCAGAGTGGGCCAATAATAGCCCTGCCGCAAAATTTTGTAGGACAAAGCTTGAGCACCGGGGTGACTTCCACAAATTCTTTCGTGAACTTCTTCGAGAACATAACGTGCTTCGGATTCATTTAAACATTTTAAAAGTGGTACAGAGTATCCTCGTTTGAACAAATTTCCGTTGTCCAGCGTGTACCGAGCTGCTCGAATTTGGAGTGCACGAGCTTCTTTAGGGTCTGAGGGTAAGGCCCCAGTCTCCAAGTAATGAATAATGGGATCCATCCACGTCGGAGATTTTTGCGACGTCACCGGATCAATGACCGCGACTTCGAAAAAGAGGGTCGACGGTTGTTCTTGCTGTCCGACTTGGACATACTCTCTCCATCTCGGTACTCGAGGCTAATCGAGACAAGGCGTCTGCTTGAATGTTAAGAGTTCGAGGAATGTGTTCAACGTCGACGAAAAATTTTGATAACTTCCTTTTTGCCAAGGACAGATACGGTGTTAACCGAGGTTCTTTGACTTCATACGACCCATTGATCTGGTTGACGAGAAGTTGGGAGTCGGAAAAGACTTTGAGGTGCTTCACGTTCATGGATTCAGCTAAATTCAGTCCGGATAGCAAAGCTTCATATTCGGCTTCATTGTTGGTTGCAGGGAAGAGAAATTTCACTGAATAGCAGAACAATCGATTCTCCAGGTTTGCCAACACTATTCCTGCACCTGCTCGGTTTGCTGTAGAAGATTCGTCAATGTAGAGAACCCACGGTTGGTTGTCGTCGTGAACTTCGACCGCTGGTGTGAATTCGGCAATGAAGTCGGATAAGACTTGTGCCTTGATCGCAGTCCTCGGTTGATATTGGATGTCAAATTGTCCAAGTTCAACTGCCCATTTTATCATGCGTCCCGAGTGTCAGGCCGGTGCAGGAATTGTCACAACGGATATGAAGTGCGGACCGTTATGGAATGTCCTTGGAAATAAGGTCGCAATTTTCGAGCAGCAGTAATGAGTGCGAACGCTAGCTTCTCCATTGGGGGATAGCGTAGTTCGGCATCGTGTAAGCCCTTGCTGACGTAATAAATAGGTGACTGTAACATCCCCTCTTCACGTATCAAGACGGCGCTAATCGCTAAATCGCTAACTCCGAGGTACAAGAACAGCATCTCCTCGGGTTTCATTTTCTGTAACGTCGGAGGGGACACAAGAGTTTCTTTAATGCTGGTGAGCGCTTTTTGACACTCTTCGGTCCAGGCTCCTCGCCTTGCCTTTACTTTGGCCCCAAGGGCACTAGGATGTGAAGCTGTTCACTCTGCCCTAATGGTTAGCTTTTGATGCCACCATACCATAGGGGCTCTAGCTTACGACTATCAAAAAGAAGGCGATAGGGTGAAACACCAGCACCTGCTGTAAAAGAAGAAAATCCCTCATCACACCACCCTTTCTTCAACCAACAAATCAAAGCGCTTCCCTTTTTTGATCGCTTCGAAAAATGGTTTGCAACGATCTGTAGACTTGGAGATAAACCGATTAAGAGCTGCTAGTCGGCCAGTTAGGGCTTGAAAGCCCTTGACCGAGGTCGGAGGAGTTAGATCTTGAATGGCTTTTATCTTGACCGGGTTGGCTTCGATTCCCCGTTGACTAACCATATAGCCTAGAAATTTTCCAGACTCAACTCCGAAGGTGCACTTCTTAGGATTTAAAACCATGGAATAAGATCGGAGGATATTGAACATGTCCTGAAGGTGTGATACATGATCTGAAGCATGCACTGACTTAACGAGCATGTCGTATACGCAGACTTCCATGGTATGACCTATCAAATTGGCAAACATCTTGTTGACAAGACT